TTTCCCTATCATAGATCTCCCATACCTTAAACGTTAAATAAAATAATGATCATGTCCAGTAAGACTGTACTACTACAGAATACAAATTGCAAAACATGACACACAAAGAAGAATTATCAAAATTAATTCAAATTAAACTGTATTCTTGCAGTCAACAATTCATGACGGCATAACCCTAGTTTCCTGCTGGGTAATGAATTGAAAAAAGCAGTTGAATATTCATTTTCAAAGTAAATGAGAAGAAACTAGTCTTTAATATAGCTAAGTCCCACAGATTTAGATAATATTTAAATATACATATATAAATATATATATTAAATATAATATCTATATAAATATAGATAAGTCCCCCATTAAATTTCCAGAGCTTAAATACTACTAAATGCATGCTTTATTGCTTAAAGAGGTCTTTCAGTAAATATGAACCTAGTAAGGTCATTCATAGCACACAGTGACCTTAAATTGCAAACAGCTTATATTTTCAAAGCCATTCCAACATTTTATTTAAAGTTAACATACACAGTCCACTTTCAATACCTTAAATCAAACTTCACACTTTCATAAGAAAAAGAATAATATTTACTGTAACCTTGTGTCATTACTTTTATTCACTCCAAGTTACAGAGAAACAATAAACAGTTGAAGAGAGCTCTTATCAAGCAGGTTCCCAATAACACGTGATAAACTGTGCAATTACATCATGCAGTCAAAGTAATTCCATCTAAGTAGCCTTTATTTTGTCCATGAAACGTTAGCTGTGTACAGCACTCCTCCTCATTACTGGGAGGAGGAGAAGCTATTTAATTCTAAAGTTCTTATGAAGCCTTTAATGGTTATCACAACGTAATATATTAGACAGCACTTAATATAACCACCATAGGATCATAAGAACTAATCCATAATCAATTTATTTTCTCGTTACATAGTTTGTAAAAATTTTAGTCGTGATTAGTCAGTTTATGTCCTCACTCCATATCTGGATCCCACTCCAGCACTCACAGCTTAGAACATCCTTCCTGAACTTAACCATTGAAAAAAAACATAAAATTTCAATTTTGTAACTGTTATTCCAGACTCAGCGTAAGCATCAACCACTGCTACCCACGGAAGTGTGTTATGCTTATCCAGGCCAAGTTTTCAGGTACGCTAAGGACACATAAAAGAAACGTCGCTGCCCGTACTTGACATGTCACATAAACTAACATCCCAGCTACGTGACAAAGCTGAGCTAGATCGAGCTCCCGGCTTTGACTCTCCCGCACCCAGCTGGCGCTTTCCGCTCAGGAGGAGCGCCCGGCCTCGGGGCGGCAAAGCGGCCCAGAGACGAGAACGCGAAGGAGGGGACAAACATAATCACATCCCTATTCGCAGTTCTTACTCTTCCCTGAATGTGTCCATCGCTTTCAACCATCCTCGGCCGTCTAGCAGCCAAAGCGGAGCTGAAAGTTTACTTTAAAACATTCAAACTAGCATTCATCATCCACAAGTTTTCAAAAATCCCATGCTTCCCTTCCCACCTTATAACTACTTCTAAAGAAAACACACACACATGCACATGAACTCTTTAACTGATGTAATCATCATTTTTTCCCATTTTTTAACCACGTTTTTCCCCCTTTTTACTCAGTCAGAGCTACCATTATCTTCTGCTGTTTTGCAGATTGTCTGCTCACACCTGACCTTCCGCTTTGCTGAGCGGGTGGTTTTTCTGGGGGGTTTTTTTGGTCCTTTTTTTTTTTTTTTTTTTTTAAAAAGGCTCACGGTCATTTTCCAGTGCTTTCTTCTTTCCAGTGCGACTTTGTCTCTGGCTTTCCCAAAGCAACGCACTCATTTATCAGGCTTGCAAGTTCTTACGCATTGGCAGACTCCGTGGCTTTCCGTTTGGCTCAGGGCTTTCAGCCACCATATGGAATGAGTTGCACGTTTTCACTCCTTATCGGAGTTTAAGATGGAAATATTTCCTTGATTCTTCTCCGGGTATTTCTGCAATTGCACACATGCTGGGAGTATTTAACCCTGACGTTGCTGATGAGAAGCTGTTACTATTAAAATGCCATCAAAGATTGAACTGAAAATCTTTTACAGTGAACCACGCCAGCAGTTTGATTCTGTTCCTATTTACAAATAGTACCTTTAATAGCTTTGGAGTTATATGCATATAGCAGAGAGGAATCTGGCTAGCTGTCTATTTGTCTGTCTGCTTGTCTCTCTAAAGAGATAACTTTTTTCTCTCTCTGCATACCGATCCAGTTTTGCTGTAGCGCTGTTGTGGCTGTGATGGTCTAAGGAGGTAAGAAGAGCCACTCCCTCTCCATCCTGCCTTTATTAAACTAGATGACAGTTGAAGACAGACAATTTTTCAGGCACAGATCTTCCTTGTATGAATATACCACTGCTATGCATCTAGCTGGGGAATTTTTTCTCTCCCTAATATACAAAGACATGCATCATACTCAGAGCTTATTCCAGCCCCCTTTTTAGCACGGGCTACTAGTTAGAGCTGTCATGGGAAATGGAGTGTGATTCCATCAAAGCCAAACGAGGCTCGCCGAATTAGCAGCGATAGAAGTGAAAGAAGAGCAGCCCTCCGAGATCAGCTCTAGCCTGGGAAGTCTCGGGGATTGTAAGACTCTTTTGAACTGTTGCTCTGGGTTCCTCAGCCAGGTCACGACAACACACTAGCAACGATGCCGGGAGGCAGCCTTCCTGGGCCGCCAAGGGACAGTGCTTCCTCTGGGAGACGCCACAGCTGAAACCAAGCCCGAGACAGAGTTCAAGAACTGCCTCCCCAGCCTGTTGAAGCAAGGGCAGCACATACTCGTTGTCCATAGCTCTGGTGTGATCTCCGCCCCCTGCCGGCCCCGCCCCGCCCCCCGCCGGCCCTAATAAAATACAGCCGCTCGATCATAGGTAAACTACGGAAGAGACTGTTGCTTCAAACACGAGGAACTGGGCCCCGAGGGCCACCCCAGGAAGAGCAGTGAGACTAGCGGGTGCAGCAGGTCCCATTGCTCTGCTTCCTTCCAAGCTGTGAGAGATCTCGAGTCACGGATGGACGGGCGCAGTAGTTTGTACATCTTTATACAGACAGGCTATTTGGGGGGGGGGGGGGGGGGAGAAGAACATTGACTAAAGCAGTAATACGTCAAGAAACACAAGCACACCACGTGCCCCCATGGGATATAAACATCCGCCACCCGCTTGCTACCTGGCATGTCAAGAACCTGGTCCTTCTTTGATCTCTCCAGAGAGTTCAGTTGAAAGCTGATCAACACTCAGGCTCACAAAGGCATTAAAAAAATCACACAGAAATGAAGTGTTAGGAGGGAACTACTGGATCATATTGCATCCTTACAAATAAGCTCTTCTCCTTCCCAGGCGACTCTCTGCTTCCCTGAAACAGAAGTTCACATCTTGGAGTGGAAATGAAATACAAACTACAAGATTTTGTGGTCAGCTTGCATTTGATCACCACTGGCTTCTCATTACGAAGACAAAATTATGTTTTAAATGTGAAAAATGAGTGAGGCAGAAATGGGCCAGTATTAACATCAGGGTAGAGACAGTAATCCAAGTAAAGGACCAGGAGCCAGATGTAGACTTTAAAATCTACAGCTGATTTGCTCAGAGTTCAGGCAAATCACTTCTTGGTCCATTCCCACATTCGTAACATCTGCGCTTTCTACAGGGGAATTAATTTTTTAAAGCAGAATTTGAAGTCCTACCTAAAGCTGATGGCTCTGCCTCCCTTTCTCTAAGGAACCCCTTGCTCCCACTGCTCCCCCTCCTACACTGCTCCCTGTTCCTTGTGAAAGAACCGAAGCGCTGGCTGCCCTGCACCTTCCCCGACTGTTTGGGCCTGGACCGGGTCTTCTTTCAGTTCCTTCTTCTTCCATCCTAGGACGCTGCCTCAGGCTCTGAATCTCCAATCTTCCTCGGATGTGAGGCTCCAGCACCATGACTGCTGCTTCTCCACTTAAAAGGACCTAACCAAACCATCAGAGTCTCTGGGGAAAAATCCATCCGCTAAATAGCACATGCCTTGAGGGCTGTTTCTGTTTTCTCCTTTCTACAACAACAAAAAAGGAGGTCAGCTTGGGGTTGTATCACAGAAGATGGAAAGAAGAAAATGAAAATCGCTTTAGTTGGGTAGATTCACCAACCTCATCTTGTCCCCGATCTATTTGACAGCCAGACCTCAGCCATATCCCAGGGCAGGAGCCCCGGCTGGAGCGCATGACCGGTGACTAGTACTCCCCCCAGCCCCAGGAACAGCAGCCTCAGCTGACTCGCAGAGCGAGATAGCACTGCACAGGATATTAGTCTCATGCTGGTGCCTGAGGGAAGGCTCTGCGGCTGTGACAGAAAACGGCAACCCAGCTGATAAGAGGAAACAGTAGAGACGCATAAACAAGACAGTTTTCAGAGGGAAGCTATGAAGACACCAAGTTTACAACTAGAGGCAAAACCACAAGGCAGTAAACAAGCTCGCTTAGGTCTAGGGCAGCTGTGCTTTGGCATATGCAATTACAAGCCGCCTTCTCTTTTACTCTGATTAGCTTGAGTTTCCTGCACATATGCCTTTGTTCCCATGGGCTTATTTATTTCACTACAGACAGCTTACTCCTGGCGCAGTTCTACCTTGTGAGATCTTTGCTGGCCTCTATGATTTAAGCAGTGCTGATTACAGACAGATAGGATAGGAAGGCAAGCATTTGCAATTAGATGGGGTTTTTTTCTTCAATACAATTTTCACACCAAGTTGCTAATCTCCTTCATACATACCCAAGGCAGAGTCATTATGTTGAGGGTATAAAGTGTTCACTCCTGAGCTTTGAGGGAATGTAGAATGAAGATTGCTGGAGTCAGAATCTAAATTAACTATTAAAAAAGTGTATTTGACTCTACTCCCTTAACAGTTATTCACAGACAGAATTAGGTTTCCTGTTGGAAAACAGCTTTCCTGGAAGAGGAGGTTTTGCAGCAAAATGAATGGCTCATTTGTTTGGTTAACATAGGTTATTATGGCAAGGATTGTTTCACAGGATGTCGCAGTGCAATAACTCAATCAAACTTGTAACAAAGCTCTGATCTGCAAATACTTAGGTACTTTTCTAGGTTTCCCAAGAGGAAGGATGCCAGAAACTCTCCCACACAGACATGCACTTACAGATTGGAGTTCATAAAGAACAGAATCATGTAGGTTGGAAGGGACTTCTGGAGGCCACCTAGGCCAACCTCCTGCTCAAAGCAGGACAAATTACATCAGGTTGCTCAGGGCCCTGTCCTGTCCAGTTGAGTTTTTAATATTTACCTGGTTCCACAGCCTCTCTGGGCTCCTGTTCCAATATCTGACCACCTGCATGGTAAAAAAACATTTTCCTAATATCTAATCAGAATTTCCCCATGTATTAACATTTGTCTGTTGCCTCTTATCCTATCACTGTGCGCCTCTGAGAAGGTAAGATCTTCCTTAGCTTTCTCTTCCTAAGGCAGAGCAAAGCCCCCGTGCTCCATCCGGCCTGTGGTGGCCTCTGCCGGACTCACTGCAGTATGTCAACATCTTTCTCATACAGGGGATGCCCAAAACAGGACAGAGCGTTCCAGATGCCACAGGGGCACACTTCTGGCTCCTGGTCAACTTGCTGTTGCTGGCCTTCTGCTGGTGCTTGTCACTGTTGATGGCAGTGGCCTTTTCAACAAAATTGTTTTCCAGTCAGTCAGCACCCGGCCAGTACTCCTGCATGGGGTTATTCCACCCCAGATGCAGGACTTTGCATTTGCCCTTGTTAAATGTCATGAGGTTCAGGTTAACTGATTTCTCCAGCCTGCCAAGGAACCTCTGAATAGCAGCCTTGCCCTCCAGCATATCATATCATCTCTGGGCATCTACATGGCTCTTCATGAAAGCAGCTGGTCTGAAACATCAGGCTTCTCACCTATGTGGAAGTGATAGAAGACTTTACAAAAAGCATTGCTTGACTCTAATTACTCTGTACAGGCTACGTGCTCACAGTAGCAGCTTTCTGAATGTCATATGAATGCAGCAGTGTTAGAACTCCCCACGCTTGGCAAAAGATATCAGAATTACATGCTACCTCTGTTATTCCCATGAAGTTCATTCATTTAAGAAAAAGCAAGTTTGAGATGCTGAGTAAGTCTTAGAAAGCAGGTCAGAAATGCTAACTGAGAAGACTGTTAAGTGCCCGTCACTTTAGTAAAGTGCTGGTTATGTTAGTACTTTACTGCCTTTGAGGACAGAACTAGTCCAGAAACACCACCATGCTAGGCAAAAGCCACGATTATTTTTGGGGGGGGAAGAAGTACACTTCTGGTGACAGGAGGCACCTTTGCGTGTGTTGT